TGCCAATTGGTCTATAAAAAAAGGTCTAGCCCTATATGCCCTATACGCCTAAAGGCGTAGAATAGGGACCTTTACCCTAATGATAACCTGAAAAATATTGTCATTTATAGTTAAGGGTAATTGCATATGCTTTCCAGGATGTTGCAGAACCAACCCCAGCAGCCCCTGGCTGTTGTGTGGGTTTTCTATACAAATTTATGTCCAGTAGTTTGCCATTGCTACTGGGAGGTCGGCTCTCTTGATACCACTGTCGAAACCAATGCAAGGCGCATGGCCCGCAGCTGGGATCGAACCCGGCCTTCCGGCATTACGAAGCGTTCGCATGGACTTAGCCACAGAGCCGACTATCATTTATAGTATTCGACAGACTATTTCTAACTGAATTTCTAAGTTTCCAACATTATTTGTCAGATTATTTCTAACTGAATTTCTAAGTTTCCAACAATATTGGTCAGATTATTTCTAACTGAATTTCTAAGTTTCCAACATTGTTGGTTGTTTGTTACACACGGGCAGCAGATGATCACAGCTGGCAGGCACTGAAGTAAAAGTGAACTATCATTTGGTAGGGTTTAGGTTTCCGGCTATCATTTATTTTAGCATAAAACCCCAGCGAGGTATCTGTCTGTGAACTTTTGGAAGACAAAACAAAAAGAGAAAGTCGTAGAAGTGGTGGTACTTATAGGTTCAAGAGAAGAAGTAAAAAAAGTGAAGAATTGTTTTCCACTTTTCGACGCCTACAGGCGCAATGAAGGAGATAATATGTCTTTTGAGAGAAACGAAAAGTAGAACATACAAAGATTACAAATCATAGGGAAAACGAATATTTCAGTTAGCACAGTTTATACTGGAACCGAAATTTGCAACGCCGAGAAAATTGTCGCAAAGTCGATAAGAAGGAAAAGACAAAATTGATTAATTAAAAAAAAAAAAACAAATTGTCATTTCGTTGATATTTCCTGTTTACATTTTCCGTACATTGCAGGTGGTGCTAAAATGATTATTGCAGTATTTTCACATCAAAAACTATTTTTCTGTGATTCCTGAAATCAGAGTGCAGCATCTTTGTCTGTTTTGTGCAGCACCGAATGCAACATATTTGGTTGCAATTCTAAAATAAGAACACCAGGCTTGAACGCAACTGCAGTATGATTTAGCAGGAAGATTATTGTCATGAATATACTATAATTTCAGATTCTATTTCAGAAATTATTGTAAACCAAAGTATTTTGTGGCGTCTTAAAAGGAGAGATAAATTGGTAGAAAGATAACTTATAGTTTGAACGTGTCGACCCTTTAACGGTAGCTGTTGACAAAGCGCAACTAATTTTATGTGAACATAACCGTTTTCCCGATAAGGCACACTTAACACACACAACGTTCATGTCTTCGAAGGACAAAAAAAAAAAAAAGATGCATGACTTAATTATCAAATTACAGTAGGCGGAAAAATAAAACAACCCAGGCGGAACACTTGTAGTAGATACGCCTGGCAGTAACCGGCTCGGAAGACAGTGGCCAGACAACAAGATTAACAAAACAATGGTACAAAAGACAGTCGCCAGACATGAAGGTTAATTAAACAACAGTACAGAAGGCAGAGGCCAGACATGACAATCACCGAAACAACGGCGCAGAAGACAGTGGCCATACAATAAGATTAACAAAACAACGGCTCAGAAGACAGTGGCCAGACGTGACAATCAATGAAACAACGGCTCAGAAGACAGTGGAACTCAAACAAGATTAACGAAACAATTGGACAGAAGACAGTAGCCATACAATAAGATTAACGAAACAATGGTACATAAGACAGTAGCCATACAATAAGATTAACGAAATAATTGTACAGAAGACAGTAGCCATACAAAAAGATTAACGAAATAATTGTACAGAAGACAGTAGCCATACAAAAAGATTAACGAAACAATTGTACAGAAGACAGTAGTCATACAATAAGATTAACGAAACAATTGGACAGAAGACAGTAGCCATACAATAAGATTAACGAAATAATTGTACAGAAGACAGTAGCCATACAATACGATTAACGAAATAATTGTACAGAAGACAGTAGCCATACAAAAAGATTAACGAAATAATTGTACAGAAGACAGTAGCCATACAAAAAGATTAACGAAACAATTGTACAGAAGACAGTAGTCACACAAAAAGATTAACGAAATAATTGTACAGAAGACAGTAGCCATACAATAAGATTAACGAAATAATTGTACATAAGACAGTAGTCGTACAATAAGATTAACGAAATAATTGTACATATGACAGTAGCCATACAATAAGATTAACCAAACAATTGTACAGAAGACAGTAGTCATACAATAAGATTAACGAAACAATTGTACAGAAGACAGTAGTCATACAAAAAGATTAACCAAACAATGGTACAGAAGACAGTAGCCATACAATAAGATTAACGAAATAATTGTACATAAGACAGTAGCCATACAATAAGATTAACGAAATAATTGTACATAAGACAGTAGCCATGCAATAAGATTAACCAAACAATTGTAAAGAAGACAGTAGCCATACAATAAGATTAACGAAACAATGGTACATAAGACAGTAGTCGTACAATAAGATTAACGAAACAATGGTACATAAGACAGTAGTCGTACAATAAGATTAACGAAACAATGGTACATAAGACAGTAGCCATACAATAAGATTAACCAAACAATGGTACATAAGACAGTAGTCGTACAATAAGATTAACCAAACAATGGTACATAAGACAGTAGTCGTACAATAAGATTAACCAAACAATGGTACATAAGACAGTAGCCATACAATAAGATTAACCAAACAATGGTACATAAGACAGTAGCCATACAATAAGATTAACCAAACAATGGTACATAAGACGGTAGCCATACAATAAGATTAACCAAACAATGGTACATAAGACAGTAGTCGTACAATAAGATTAACCAAACAATGGTACAGAAGACAGTAGCCATACAATAAGATTAACCAAACAATGGTACATAAGACAGTAGTCGTACAATAAGATTAACCAAACAATGGTACATAAGACAGTAGTCGTACAATAAGATTAACGAAACAATGGTACATAAGACAGTAGTCGTACAATAAGATTAACCAAACAATGGTACATAAGGCAGTAGTCGTACAATAAGATTAACGAAACAATGGTACAGAAGACAGTAGCCATACAATAGGATTAACCAAACAATGGTACATAAGACAGTGGTCATACAAAAAGATTAACCAAACAATGGTACATAAGACAGTAGCCAGACCATAATATTAACGAAACAATCTACATAAGACAGTGGGCAGACATGACAAAAAACGAAACAACAGTACAGATAGCATTGGCCAGATATGAAGGTTAATCAAACAACAGTACAGAAGGCATTGGAAAGAGATAAATGTTAATTAAACAACAGTACAGAAGGCATTGGATAGAGATAAATGTTAATTAAACAACAGTACAGAAGGCATTGGATAGAGATAAATGGTAATTAAACAACAGTACAGAAGGCAGTGGCCAAAAATGAACGTTATTTAAACAACAGTGCAAAAGGAAGTAGCCAGACATAAAGTTTAATTAAACAACAGTACAGAAGACAGTGGCCAGACATAATGGTTAATTAAACAACAGTACAGAAGACAGGGGCCAGACATAATGGTTAATTAAACAACAGTACAGAAGACAGTGGCCAGACATAATGGTT